TAATAATTTAATATCTATTAATATAAAATACGAAATAATCGATATTCATTTATTATTCATTCTCAATCATTACATCTCTAGCAAATCTACGCCTCGATAGACAACGGTCTTGTTTCGTATGCATCTCTGTTATAGCTAGATCATGAATATTGTATGTGTTTCGGACGCTAAAATCTTTGTTGCGTTCTTATTTCGAATTATATATATGTAATTCCGTTTTAATTTATACTGTTTATTTCTATTTTTACTCAATATGAAATAAAAACTTATAGGTAAAATTGTCTTTTTTATCAATATTACTCCTATATAAAATTGTTGGAAATGACAAGAAAAAGATATACTTTCTTGAAAAGAAAATGACGAATGTAGTTTGTTTTTTACTCTGTCAACTGTTTTATAGAAGAATCAACAAAAAATTAAGATTGTAATACAATTTGTAAACTGTATCGCGCGAGCTTCCGAAATTTAAATTTGTATTGTGCTATTACATAGATACATTTTAATATTATCTTATATATAAAAATTAATTTTAATGTTCAATCTTAATTGCAGAGATTAGCACTATAAAAAACTTTAAAATTTATAAAAAGCAATGGCGACATCTCTCGGTCGAATTATCGTTGTAAAACGATATTCGAAATTGTTTGTATGCTGGAAAGGATATAACAATAGATGCGCCAAGCATTGCTTCAAATGCTAAATAACAATGTAGAAAGAAGGCGTTAAGATTTTCGTCGCTGTGGCTATCAGCCGTTTAGCTCAGTGGCTAGAGCGTCAGGCCGCGAATGCCGAAGACGTGGGTTCGATTCCCACAGCGGCGATAATCTTTTCGTACTTTTTAATAAAATTAATTGCTGTTCGTTAGTCTCGCTAAAACTCGAGAACGGCTGGACCGATTTGGCTAATTTTGGTTTTGAAATGTTTGTGGCAGGCCAGGGAAGGTTTAAACGATGGGATATTATAGAAAAGTTGCATGGAATATCTAAATAGCAACAATTTTATTTTCCCATATAAACTGTACCTGTCAACCTGTCAACTGTCAACTGTCAACCTGTCTGTGTAACCAGACAAACGCTTCCAAATTGCCTAGAAATAATTTATATGGCAAAACAACGTTTGCCGAGTCAGCTAGTTTTTAACCGACTTAAAAAAAGAAGTAGGTTTCTCAATTCAACCGTATATATTTTTATTTTTTTTATGTGTGTTCGCGGATAACTTCGTCGTTTATGAACCGATTTTTATGTTTATTTTTTTGTTGGAAAGGAGTTATCCCAAGGGTGGTACCATGATAAGGAAACCCGGATCTGATGATGGCATCCCAGAGCAATCAAGGGCAATCCTCAAATGTTATAGTTATCAACAATGTTTTTAGTTTCCGGATTGAAGTCTTTTTTTTTTTTTGTTGAAAATTATACTTGTCAATATATATATTGCCAATGTGATCGATTGATAAGAATGCGATTACTTAATTGGGCTATAGGTGTTGATTAACGCCTCAGTGAACTCAGGTTATACTTAATTTTTGGTGGCTGACCTACATATTATTTAAATTTCGCGGACGCCTTATGAGGGTAATTAATTTTTTGCATAATTTGTGTAAGGTACTGCATGTTTGTATGAGATCACATGACAACTGCATGCTCATTACATTGACATGTTTAGCATATTTTTGCATTTATTGCAAAAAAAGGGTGATGAAATTTTGGATTTTGGAATAAAATACGTCTAACAATGTATAAAACGACAGATTACGTTTACTAATGTATTTGATCGAGAAAATAGATTATCGATTATGATAACTTCAAGGTTTTTTCCATATTGATACTATTTCGAGTAATGTGAGAATAGTGAAATGATATTTAAATATTATTGTAATATTCCACACTCATTTCAATGTCATAACTTACCAATAGGGCATTTACTTACTACATATACGTAAGAAAACTGCAAAATTATGCAATGCATGAAGTATTATTCATCTGGATATCGAACTTATGCACTATTGCAAGTCATATACTCAAATCAACGGATTTGATCGAGGCCAATTTCCTAATAAATTACTTTAATACATGGGGGGTTGTACCATTTGCTCAAACAATCAATTTTACACATACAACCAATGGGTCATCCAATTTTACCAGTGAATACTTTAAATACGGACAACCTCAATTAAAGTACGTCTACTGGCAATAATACCCAAATGGATACGACCCACTTATTTACGATTGTCAGTCACGAACTAGTCGAAACTGGCTTCTCATACACGCACTTTGTTGCCTGTATGATCTTTCGGAACGATTCCAATGTTGACGAATTATGTATGGAAAATTGATTGCCTAACAGAAAAATAATTTAAATTTCTTCACTAAAATATTATAATCACAAATGTTTGATTGATCACGCATTTTTGATCATTTATGTTAACGAAATGTCACGCAATATATTAATATTCATATTATTATTTCTGAATAGTTGAGATGATTTTAGGATTATATTAATAATTCATCAACAAGGTCGTGAAGGATGATATTTCCTCGTTGACATAAATTAAGTAACTGAACTTAAGTTTTAATTAAAAATAATTAACCTTTTGGTAACGGCCGGATACATTAGCGCCTCTATATTATTGTTGATGGTTAGAGACGTCCGGTGTCATCAATTTTATCACCGTAAATATTTTCAGAGCACATAAAGATCAAGGTGCCTTACGATTTCCTATTTCGAAAATGCTTTCAATTAAAAGATGTCAAGGTCAAGGGAATTCATAAACGTAATGAGTGAAGAAAACCATAATGGTAATAAGTGACTTACATTTTTTATTTAAAAAAATAACAGTCGAACTAAGAACCTCCTTTGAAGTCGATTAAAATAAGATTGGTTAGGTGCTTCTTTAAACAAGAAAAAACCAAAAAAAATAACCGATCTATGGATCCTAAACATATGTGGTATTGCTTTGCCAACCACAGATGGTTATTTTAAGCACCAGTCGTAAACATATGTATTAGTTGTTCTACTTTACGCCTTATGTGTTCTACCCTGATATATAAAGGTACGTAAATGTAGTAATGTCCTGATATATAAGTGATACGTAAAGGTAACTAAGAAAATTGTGGACGTCAGCATCCCCTTATCTGTTGCTTGAAAAGTGCTAATAATTTTAATTCTACAGTTATAAAATGTGTTATTAAACCATAAATTTATTAATTTCAATCTATAATTGGCCCATCATGCGTCTCATTGGGTTGTTTATCTCGTTTTAATTTCTAGAACTTTCACTGTGTAGCACGAGGTTCTACTTCTACGCTTCTTATCTACGCTTTTGGTTATATTTTAAATGTTAAACATAATATAAGTATGAAACTTATTATTAATATCCTTTGCTAAAGCTCAATTAGCATTCCATTATTTGCTGCATGGCGTAAATATATAAGATGAAAAGCTTTTACTCTTTAGACAATCTGTCAAGGAAAGAGGTCAACAGTGTTTCGTGGTTGGGTATATAGTTCGTGTTATGTCGATGATTAATTAAAATAAGGCACTCCGCACGCGTGACTCTGGGGCGAGAGCTCACTTGAAGCGGAGAGGGTGTGAGGAAATGGGTCACTTTATATAGCCCAGTAGGATCAGGCTCTTATTCATTAACGTTAAAGAATAACCCTAAAAATGACTGACAATTTCAAACTCTCACAAATATATTTCAAATTTATAAAGAACTGTCTAGATATTTAAATACATCTGAAAATATGTTTACACAACATAAAGTAGTTCTAAATTAAGCAAGGTTTTTGTTAATATATACCAGAATTTTTAAAAACCGGCCAGGTGCGAGTCGGACTCGCACACGAAGGTTTCCGTCCCATTATCTATGAAAGCGGCAAAAAAAATCATGTCTATTGCATGGGAGCCCTACTTAATTATTTTTTATTCCGTTTTTTTGTTTTTTGTTGTTATAACGGCAACAGAAATACATCATTTGTGAAAATTTCAAGTCTCACTATCACGGTTCATGAGATACAGCCTGGCGACAGACGGACAGACAGACAGACAGCGAAGTCTTCCTAATAAGGTCCCGTTTACCCTTTGGGTACGGAACCCTAAAAAGTAAAGTAATGTAATTGCCTATACATGTCCCACTGCTAGACAAGGTCCTCCTCTGTACAGAGGGTATTAGGGAATAGTCAACCACGCTGCCACTGCGGATTTTTGGATTTCACATATTTTCAAAATATTATTTTTGGTATTTCATTTGTGGGCTGGATTTGAACTCAGTTTGCTCGAGTATATTGAATTAAAGGCGGGCGCCCGGACACTGAGCTGTCACGGCTTTTTTAGTATAATATATATAATGAAAAAATATTGATAATAATTTTTTTTTAATTAATACAATGATATTTTTTTTATTTAATTGTGTATATAATATTTTTCCATAGGTCGGATGAATGATTTCACTTAGAAGTGAAATCTAAACTAAATTTGCAAAATATAACAAGCGATAATATAATGTCTATACTAATGTCTTAGTGCCAGGGGCGTTAGACTTACAAAAACCATGAGATCGCGGATCTAAATACATTTATGCGGCGTTTATTTTTATTAAGGCCTATCCAATTTAAACTTGTTTAAACTTAGCCCTTAATTTGGCCCCGAAGCTATTTTTTCGATTATGAAATACTTAGCGAAAATCTACGAATAGGTTAATAATAATTATTAAAAATAAATGTTTTCAATCTCCATTTCTTAACACAATCGAAAAGTAAGGTACGATAAAAAAGTTAAATAAAGATTAAACAACGACATGACACGACGACAATGGCACTTAAAAAAAAGTTAAGGCACGCAATTCACATAAAATGTAGTTCCCGATTGCCACATCCGTAATAGTCATTATTGTAAATCTTGATACATCGCGATTCCCGCATTAAAAATGTATCCAACCGAATTGTTATTACCTTAATTGGTTTCCCCTTCGGGTTTCGCAATAACCATATAAATATATATTCATGAACCCCGGTGAGTTATGAAAATATTAAGCCTCTTGGGCGTGCCATGCTTGAGGTCAATAATATTGACATCGAACGTAAAGAAAAGGATGCTCAATGTTACGCAAAACACCTTTTTCAGCGAGATGTAAAACTGACGAAATACATTTGTCGTTAACCAAATGGTCCTTATGTTGTGATTAAGATTGAAATAAATTAATAATTCAAAAATTACGCAATCTAGATACACTAACTTAATAAGTTATTTTTTTTTTTCAGTTAATATTAATAAGATGTTTATTTGTTTGACATTGATTATGAGTATTAAAAATTGATGTAAGTAATAATTTTAAGTATTAATTAATCAGTTATGTAATATTAGATATTACATAACTGGTTTTTGTTAATATTTTCTTTTAAATAATGCAGTTTCCAAAAAACAAGAAGCATTAATTGGATAAAAAAGTTAGTGTGCGGGAATATGAATAATCATAATTCATTTTGCTTTTGGTTTGTTCAAATATCAAATGTTAATTTATAAATAATATATATATATATATATATATATATATAACATTCAGAAGCTAGGCTTGGCGAGCTTTGCTTATTTCTATTAGAATTTGTTATACTTCTGTTTAGCTCCGTTTTTCTGCAATAAATATACGATGTATAAATTCAGTTTTGATGCTATGAATTTAAAATAAAATAATGATTTTGTATAAGGACCATAATCACTCTGTTTAATACAAAACTGTTAACTTGCCGATTTTGTTGAACCACCGTTGTATACTGCGGGCTGAATTCTAATAACAATATCATGAGATTGAGCGAACAAACATATGGATAACATGAAACTATTACATATTATGGCTATTGGAAAAACGCAGAGGCAGAGGAAATAAAACCGACGAATACTGTTCATACATTGTTTCCATCAAAGCCTTTTATCATTTAGAGCAATTTCCTTACATTGATGAAATAACAGGAAGATACCCGACGGATAAAACTCGGCCATTGTTCTTGTTACTAATACTTTTTTTGAACAATGGACTGGCATAAATAAACCCTATCATATTAATCTCTTTAAACACTTAAATACAAACACAAAACTGATGTAATGTGGTGAATCAACAACATAAAGGCAAACAAAGTATTTGGGCCAGATCACCGAAATCCCAAAAGCTTGTACATACGCAGAATTTTTTTATTATGTGTCCTCATATAAGAATTTAAATGCGGTTCTGAACAGAATATACGTCTCGTACCTACATTGAAATATTATTAAAGATCGACATAAATATGACAAGTTTAGTAATATAAAACTACAGGCCAAACACACAGCCATTTTGGAAACAAATCTGCTATACCTTTTGAACCGCTTTTGTTCATTGAATTTGTTTTGCTTAATCTGAAATTTGAATCCTTCTTAAAAAAATTAAGAGAATAAAAAGAAAAGAGAAAATTTGAAGACGAAGTGTGCGATACATTTCCAACATACACACGCCGTTTGTTGTATTCGTTTATTATTTCTTTTCAAAAAAATGACAAATCTTTTTTATTTATTTTTAAATTAACCATAAAATATAATATTAGTATATCAGAATAAAGTACTTTAGTTTCTATAATTGTAGCCTGACTAGAAGAGAGACCAGCTCTGACTTCACTTTTGCATTAATAACGCCAGTCGATAGTTGATAGTTATATTGTTTTTTCATAAAAAGGCGAGGTTCTCTGCATTTATTTTTCTGGTCCGCTATAATTATGGTGCTTTCCTGAATCACTTGAACATTTCCATCCTTTCCCAGAATAAGTTGAGATGGGAGAATCAGATAAAAATGACATCGATCTTGATTTTATTTTTTCCTTTCTTTCCTTCCTACCTCAGATAATTTACCGCGCAGTCATTTTTATCTGTGTTCTCGTTTCTCCGCAGGACCCCAGGAATTGGCGAGACAGAACCAAATCACCACGCGAATACTAGAAGCGTACATTCAGAAAAAGCTGGGTTTAGCGAGAAATATTAACCCTGTAGTAAGACCACCTTCCATTTTGGACATATTGCCTGCTAAGAAGCAAAAAGAGGAGAGACCTATTAGACAACTGTCATTTCAAGAAGAAGAAGAAGACGAAGGGAAAGAAGAAGATTTACCAGGCGTGGAAGAGGAGGAGAATACAGACCTGTATCCAGGGGAAGAAGACGGCTTGCAGAGTGTGGAAAGCGAACAAATTGACTCTATTTATTCAGAAGGCATGTAATAACTAATAGAGGAATAATATAAGCTTTAAGTTTGTTTTTCTATTATGATTTACTTAGCTTAAGGTTAAAAGGGGTAAAACGTATTTTCTCATCATCATCATCGTCATCATCATTTTAGCCTGTTTAAGTCCACTGCTGAACATGGGTCTCCCTTATATCAACATATATCATATACCCTATATCAACAACTATTTGGTAATTGACTAATACAATCAGGCAACAGTCTATGCTGTAGTACCTATGGGCAGGTCCGTCCGGGTAAGTACCACCACCTCACAGGACGCCGGCGTGAAGTAGAAGCATTTCTGCGTTTGTGTATTTCTGCGTTTCATCTGGTAAGTGAGGTAGCCGGAGCCCACTGAATTAAAAGGTGGCATTGCATCTGCAACCCTACGGGTGTTGCAAATGGCTGGCGATTATCACTTAACGTCAGGTGAACCGCCAGCTGGCCACTTACTCGCATAAAAAAATTATCATAATCACACATGCTCAAATCAAATCAAGCTGTATAATTTTTGTATTTACATAAACAATGGAGCGAGTAAACATAGAACTATGAACCATGTTGTAAAACCTCATAAAGTTAAAAGGCATGGCTTTCCAACGTACACCATGAACCTTCAACAATATTAGAAATTATTTGTCAGGGTCAGGCACCTAAACTTGATTCTGTTATTTAAGTATATAACATTAAAAAGTAACAACTGCAAATTATACAAAATAAAATTTTGTCTTAATACAATAATTATATAATAATATTTTTGGCACAACATTGTATTAGTTTTTATTATTATATTTATCAAAATATTATGTAAAGAGTGTAAAGGAGTTAACCTAAAATGGTTGATATTTTTACAGTTTCTCAAGTGTAGTAAAAACAATAAATAAGCAATTTATTAGATATTAACTAAACTGACTTGCAATTTAGACTTTATGCGATAGTATCGTATCTTAAAGATGTGTATTTAAATCGTGAATTATTTTTTATTCAAATCTTCTGAACACTGGGAATGTTTTAAAGTTTCCTTTCCTGTTCCCCAAAGTATATTGTATTGATAAGGCAAACAAAGGTGACACAACGATCGTTTATTCTTAAATATTTAGTTTTAATGTTATTCGTATAGCCGCAATTGATATCTCACGCCTAAGCATTATGTCAAATAAATACGTGGTAGTTAACGTATTGCGTACGTATTTACACAAAAAGTAAATACCATAACAGTGGGCTCAAATATTTCATGACAAATACCGCAGTGCGTAAGACCAATGATAAGGTCGCGACAAGCACGACCGGGGATCGAGGCAATTGCAGAAGCTTCACTCCGCTATATTTCTTAATTGGAGGGAAACGTTTGCAGGATTGGCAATTACGGCATACCCGCTAATTGTTTCATTCATAACAGTTTTTGATGTTTACGATTGATTTTTTTTTAATATATCTGCACTCGCTTGACAATTTTTCTACAAAATATTTACAATTTAACTTTTAGGTGATTTATTTGTTAAGTTTCATGTAAGTCTCTATTCGGAAAACCCCGTTGGGGAGAACACAGTGATTTATGGACTAAAACTGATTGTAGTAACACGGCTTGTTATGTCAGTTAGCCATATGTTAATACGTGATATATACACACGTAAAAAAACTACATAAAATAACACATCAAAGTAAAAATTGAAAAACTGCTAGCAGTAGTTTAATTTGAAAAATGCTGTTTCTATTCTTTTCAGAATATCCATGATAAATATCACATTAAGATAATAACATAACAGAAAAGTTCTATATAAATGAAATGGAAATCATAGAGGTCTGCCGTTGTGCGCGCATCACCTAAAAACTCCTGGATTGATTTAAAAAAAATCTAATTTTAATTTATCAGACACTTGGCCCTTATCTATAAAATGTATTCTAATGTCTTCATTGAATACGAAGGTTCAAAGTTTTAATAATCACCGATTTTTATGAGCACTACGTGTTCAGTTATGTGTGTTTACTTGCCGTGGAGAGGTTGGGCAATCGAGTAGTTGATAAGCAACGCAAAGAAGTCGCGGTATCAGCTAGTTATTAACATAATCAACTAAAAATAAAAATAAAACAATGCTCACAAAATGTTTCAAAGACATTATTAAGTATAAATTTAAAAGATTATTATGCAATCACATAAAGAATATGAAAGCATTTATATATTTTTTGCATTTTTTTATACTAGACTTAATTATGTAAAGAATAATTTTATTACTTACTACCTACAATAGTAATCATGAGCTGTTTATATGACCTTTTCCTTTATGTCATTATTAATAAAAACACCTTTTTATGTCTATTTTAGATTTAACTTTATTATTCATTTTTTACTTTATTCTATCGTTCTTTTCTTGCTGGAAGGTAAAGCATAGCTAGGAAATGCAGTTAGTGTTCTGAGCACCATACTGTGTTAGGTTTATTAGATAACATGTAAATAAGTTAGTGTTTATTATTGTTACATTTTTTCAATAAAGAATACTGACAGCGATCGACGACAAATTATATCAATTTACGGCTAGTTGTTGTCGTTTTAAGTGTAACTTACGTCTATGATAAATAATATTTTATTTTAATTCTTATTAATTTTAAAACGATTTGTCTAATTAGATTAATTTATCAATGTAAATGGTCCAATTTCTATACAATGTTTTACATACTGAATGTCGACTGTGGTTGGTGCTTCGATTTTAACTTGACCTCGGTATAAAGTCGGAGATACTATATCCCGATTCAGTTTCAAGGTGAAAATGGCAGTCGATGTTTGATTTGCCGTGTTTTACGCAAAATGAATCTTTAATTCCTTATAATGGCTTTCTCAAGTAATGATACTAATAACTTATTATTTATGAGCATTTTAGGTAACTTCTATCAATATTTTCCAACTAGCAATTTTAATTTTTTTTTCTGGACTGGAATTTTCACGATACAACACAGTTTTAGAGTGGTGTTTTCCGACGCAAAATATTTTATGGCCTTTACTTTCCTCATCATAAAGTGTTTTCCTTAAGTGAATGGCAAGTTGGGTGAAGTAGCAAGTAAGCAGGTTACTCATTTGATGGTGAGTGTTCCCCCATAACATCACAACTCCTACAATCAAAGCGGTTGCAGATACTTTGGCAACATTTAAAAAAGTGGACCCTGGTTACCTCACTCATCAGACGAAATGCGAAAGTTTAATACTTCCATTTCACGCCACTTCCCTTTTACAATTTAGGCTTGACAAATTTTATTATATCATGTATACAAGCAAAGTAAAAGTTATGTTACAGTCCAATTTATTTATATTCTACATCGACTCACGCACGACACTGTCTTATATACTTTAAAATTAATTCCTCCGATCACATTGGCTTGAATACGGCTCAATATCATAATGCCGTTATTGTATAAACATGTAATAAGAGTCCTGAGAGGCTTACTTTAATAATAGTTTCATAATAAATTTATGATAAAAGAACAAAATTAGACATGTTCCGGGAACTGAACGAATGTTAAAAGATTGTATGATATGATATGATGTACATTTTTTATGATAATTTTAACGTCATATTATCCAGATTACCGAAGTTGCATTATAACTTTTCCCATATTGTCCTATTTACAATGTACGTAATAAGGAAAGACTATCCATTAATACGAGAATGCAACTGTTTATATTTAAAGTATTGGAGATTTTAACATTCAGGCCTTATTTAATACTGTTCCATTTAATGCTTCCTCTATAGATATATTTTAAATGAAACCAGATTTTCGGGTGAACTAATTAGGTAGTTACTGTATATTAAATATTCAATCTGGTGACCTATATTTTCAAATAATTAAGCAGATGCGCGACTTTAAATTAACATTGCGAAAGCGACCTGCGTCAATTTTGCGTTAATAAATCTGATACATAAATTAAACGAAAATTTGCAATTCAATCGTCAATTATTATACTAATTTCGTTGACACGGTAGTTACTAGCATCGATTAAACTTAGCCTAGACTAACTTAGGTGAATGTGGATACGGTGTATATAGTGTCTTCACCGACGTATGGACCTACTACTTTCTTTTTTAACACCAAATATAACATGCTAGTCTATATATATCTACCCCGTTTAGTTTACATCTTAATTTATATCACATGTTCGTTGCGAACGTGTTAACTCATGTTCTATATATTTGTAAATTTTCATCGTCTTTTTTTTTTAATTTATTTAATCCAGTAATAAAGTACAATAACATAAATTATTCTCTGCCAAACTGTGATGCAGTTTTAAGTGAACGGAGTAATAACACAGTCCATCAGTAGGAAATTGCAGTACATTTCCCGTGGCGTTACAAAGTCCCAGGAGCTTTGCACCAATCTCGGCATTGCCGACGGGACTCGGGTGATGCGAAGCACAAAAAAGCTGCAAAAAGGAGCATCGTTAGAACGCGCTGACCCATTTCCGCAGTAGTACGCGCCCGGCCTGAGTTCCAGGGTTGACGATATAAAATCGTTCGGTAAAATGAGACACCCGATATGATCGGTTGACAAAGTTCAGACGAGTCACAGTGGCTCGGGCTTTGTGTTCGGACGATTAAATCCATTTGACATATAAATACAGTTTATGTTAAGTCGGTCTATGATGATGGGTAACCAGCCTATTTTGAGTAAACTTTGTGAATTAGATAGAATATCACAAAACAATTTTAGGCAGAAAAATCTATATATCGACTAATGTGTCGTAATGGAGCGTTATGTCTCGGCCTATATTAAATATTCCCTACGACAAAATTGAAAAAAGACGATTCGATTTATAAAGTCTTTCTGAATCTGACAGTATATTCATTATATAATACGATTTCTGACAAAAAAATAATTCGAAAAACAAGTTTTTTTAATTACTGTCTATCGACAACCCTATTTGAAGCTATCGTTCGCAGGCTCACGTTTCAATGCGGGCTTGCGGCACTCAGATGCCGACTTTTAAGCGTCATTATCATTAAC